GAGTGAATGTTGAAAGTGGTGGATGGGGTGTCAATCAAATGGGCTGCTCTGTCCTGGATAGTGTTGAGCTGCTTGTGTGCTATTATCACTGGGCAGCTGAGAAAGTTAAATTTGATTAAATAAATCAAATAAAAAAGGACAACATCAGCAACAGCATCAGAGCAGTTTTACATCATCTACTTCAACAACTGAGGGCAGTTCTAAATACTGTATTACTCTGAACATATCAGCAACATAAGATTCCGTACAGAATTGACTACGACAGCAACAGCTTGAGTGGGAGAAGGGCTCACCGTCTGCAGCCAAGCTTACCTGCCAGTGTTCATCCAAATCCTTCACCTGTTGGTGTAGCTCTTTCATGGAAGTCACCGCCTCTGCCTCACGCAGCTTCAGTGCTTTTAGCTCCTCCTGCAAGCGTATTATGTTGTTCTCATCAGGGAGTGAGCTGTTTCTCTGGAATTAATCAGCAGAAATTGTTTACAAAATAAAAGGCTCAAGCAGCTTAAAAAACGTCATAACTACAGCAGCTATTAACACACATGCAGAGTATCCAGCAATTCGGGGTCTCAGTCCCAGATGAAACACCACCTTGCTAGGCATTAATTTTTTTATTCATTAATGGGATGAGGGCATTGCTGGCTAGGCAGCGTTTATTGTCCAATCCTACTTGCCCAGAGGGCAGCTGAGAGTGAACATTGCCGTGGGTCTGGAGTTGCAGGTAGGCCAGACCAGGTAAGGATAGCAGGTTTTCTTCCCTAAAAGCACACGAGTGAACCAGACTGTTTTTTTCCCCGACAATTGACAATGGATTCATGGTCATCATTAGATTCTTAGTTCCAGATATTTTATTGAATTCAAATTTCACCATCTGCCATGGTGGGATTCGAATCCTGGTCTAAAATGTTATCTGGGTCTCTGGATTAACAGTCTAGCAATAATACCACTAGGCCATTGCCTTCCCAGCAGTCTCAGGCAGTGAGACATCCAAATCTTCTTCCTTCCAAAGGAGCAGCTTACCTCTGCCAGGTGCGCGCACACGTTTTTCCACTCTCCTGACACCCAGCAACTCTTCCTTCACCCCATGATCTGAATGGACTATTTGATTTGATTTATTATTGTCATGTACCAAGATACAGTTATGCATGCTAACAACATAAATCATACTGTATGCAAGTACATCAGGCTAAGAATATACTGTTACAGCTACAGAGAAGATCCATAGAAAGATCAACTGTTATATATGAGAAATCTGTAAATGAGTAGTTAACGTTGCTGTGTGGCAAGGTGAACTGATACACGATTCCTCTTGGTTATTTAACTAAAGTGAATGGATGTTGCAGCTATGAATACAGGAACACTTTCAGGAGGCAATGGTCTACTGGTAATTATGACTATACTATTAATCCAGAGACCCCAATAATGACCTGGGGACTTGGGTTCAAATCCCGCCATAACAGATAGAATTTGGATTCAATTAAAAATCTGGAATTAAGTGTCTTATGATGACCACAAAACCAGTGCTGATTGTCAGAAAAACATATCTGACTCACTAAAGCCCTTATCTGGTCCAGCCTACATGTGATTCCAGACCCACAGCAATGTGGTTGACACTAACTGCTCTCTGGGCAGCTAGGGATAGCAATAAATTCTGGCCTAACCAGCAAAGCCCACATCCCATGAATTAACTGATTTTAAAAAAAGCTACATTCAAATGTATGCTGCAACAGTGTTCCTCATCATCTACTCATCATCATGCTCTTCGGAGGGTTGGTGTGAACTCGATGGGCTGAAAGGCCTGCTTTCACATTGCAGGGATTCTATGATTCTATGCTGATGACTTCACCAGATTTCATTTTCTTAACTCTTAAAAGGCCAGCACTTAATGGGGAGGTCAAAGGAAATGCTATTAGGACATTTTGAAGGTCTCCCTGAAGTGCTGCAGCATTAACATTAATGACTGGGAGGAATGCGGTACCAACTGTTCAAATTGGTGACAAGTTGCCCATCAAGCTGCATCACACTTTTGAGTGCAAACACTTAATAAGGAGGCAGAGCTCACTGGACACATGGACAAAGATCTTTGGGTCATGAGTTGGCCTGTCACATGAAGACCCATGGTAGAAACTTGTGATGGAGGGGCAGCCAATAAGTGCATTAATTATACTTTGATGGTGGGGAACAATTCGAAAGCCTAACAAGTAGAATTTAGTTTAACTTCAATCCAAGTGAGTAAAAAAACCAAAACTAATAACTTCCACTCTCTGCAGGTCAACAATATTTCATGATTCACCACTCAGTTTCCAGCTGCACATTTCCCAAAGACAGTCACATCCAGTAAAGCATCTGTGCCTTCTTGGCTTTATACGAGCATATGAATCATAAGTCGGAGTAGGCCCTTCACCCCTCAAGCCTGCTCCAACACTCAAGAACATCATGGTTAATCTGATTTTGGCCTCAACCTCTTATTCCCTTTGACTTCCTATATCCTTTGACTTCCTCATTAGTCAAGAATCTATTCACCCAGCTTAAAAATATTCAAGAACCCTAACAACATTGCCCTCTGAGCAGGGAGCTCCATGGACACTTGACCCTTCAAGACAAAAAAATTCTCACCCCAGACTGAAATGGAAGACCACTTGTTTTTAAACTGTGTCCCTGAGCTCCAGTATCTCCTACAAGGGGAAGCATCCTTTCAGCATCTATCCTGTCAAGACCTCACAGTACCTTGTAATTTTTCAACTAAACCACATTTCAGGCTTAACCTCCAACAGATACAGGCCCCATATTTACACATAATACATCTCATCCCATTGTATTATCAGTCAAATAAACCCTCTGAATAAACACGCCTTTTTCTTAATTAAGGAAACTAAAACTGTACACAGTACTCCAGATGTGATCCCAACAGTGCCTTGTACAACTTTGCAAAACATTCCTACTTTCACATTCAATTCCTTTTGTAATAAACATCTGCCTTCCTAGTTATTTGCTGTACCTGCATGCTAACTTCACATGTTTCCTTGCCATCGTATCATTTAGCTATATTCCCTATTACTGTACCAGTGACATTACCACAACGCCACTGCCTTCCCTACTGGTGTACTTGCAAAAGTGCCAGGAGACCGAGGGGTGACCTTACAGAAGTTCATAAAATCATTAAGGACATCAATAAGGCAAATAACCAAGGTCTTTTTCCTATGTTAGAGGAGTCTGAACCTAGATGGCATATGTTTAAGGCGAGAGGGGAATGATTTGAAAAGGATCCGAGGGGTAAGTTTTTCACGCAGAGGGTGGTGCGTGTCTGGAACAAGCTACCAGAGAACCTGGTGGAGGCAGGTACAATTACAACTTTTAAAAGGCATCTGAATGGGTATATGAATAGAAAGGATTTAGAGAGAAAAAGGGCCAAATGTTCGCAAATGGGACTAAGTCAGACTGGTTGGTGCAGATGGGTTGGACTGTAGGGTCTGTTTCTGTGCTGTATGAGTCTACATTATATAACATCAAAGGCTTTCATAGCATTAAAACAGCAATCTAAATAAACACCCCATTGTTGATTTTCCCCATTTTTAAGCTCCACCCCAGTATCATGCTTGTGACATGTTCAAGACAAGTATCAAAAATTGCCAACTATTTGAAGAGTGGACGGACATTGCAAACATGCATCATGCCACTAACAAGGCATTTTTACTGTAAAATAGCAGTCCTACTTGCTGTGGTAAGTTCGCTTCATGTTTACAGTGCAAATGCAGTCAGTTCTTAGTACTCACAAGGAGGTTAACCATGAGCTTCTGTTCTTACAAGACTGATGGAGGAACAAAACAGATCAGCCATTCAGGAAGAGATAGTAAGAACTGCAGATGCTGGAGTCAGACATTCATTCTGTTGTTTAAGATGAAAGGAGGAAAGCAGGGAATCTTAAACCAATTGTTACCAGGAAATTATTAGTGATTCGTGATGCAGAGCACCTTGTACTTTTTCGCAGATCAAAGCTAGACTGGATTTATAAAGAGTACACTGTGCAAGACAAAGCTAATTTAAGTTATTGAAGAGGTGACCTGAGTCATAGATGTTATCAGGATTAACTTCTGGAAAGCACTGACAAAGTTTCTCATAAAAGATGATTAGCTAAGGTTAAAGTTCATGGAATTGGAGGCAAATTATTGACCTATTAGGAAATTGATGTTTGGCAGGAGACAGAGCAGGTTAAGGAACAGGTTCTGCAACTAGAAAGGTATGACTAATAGTGTCCAACAGGGATGTTTTAGGGCCTCAACTATACATCACATTTATGAACAACTTAGATAATAGGACAGAGAGCCATGTATTTCAATGTTTCAATAACACAAAGATATTATTTTAAAGTGAATGCAGAAACCTGTAGTAAACAGATTTCAATGCTGGCATGAATGAAGACGTCCATTTTGGGCCTAAAAAGAAAGAACACAATCCTACGGTGAGAAGTGAGAAATAAAGAATCCAAAGAGATTTGGGGTCCTAATACACAGCTCGTTAAAATAGCATGAACAGGTATAGAAACTAATCAAAGAGACTAATGGAATGGTGGCGTTTATATTGAGTGTAATAGAATCTAAAGGGAGAGAAGACCTGATTGAGATCTAGGAAGTTATGAGGGGGATAGATAGGGTCAACAAGAACATCCCCCTCCCGCCCAACCTCAGTAGAGTGGTCAGTCTCCAGGGGTCATAGGTAAGGGCAGGAGGATCAGAGAAGATTTAAGAATTTCTTTCACCAGAGTGTGGTGGATAACTGGAACTTACTGCCTGAAAGGGTGGAAGGAGTGAAAGGAGTGAAAAACACGACAGTTCACAAGTATTGAGACGAACATTGAAACACATACAAGCACTGAAAAATAGGATAAGTAGAACGGTGTGGACAAGCTGGGCCAACGGGCGTCTTTCCACATTGACCTAAAGATTTACATCCGAGTGTGTCGAAAAAGATGGCTGTAAAGATAGTGGATGCATTGGTGGCCATATTTCAAGATATATTGATTCTGCAATGCAGTCTGTGGCTGAGAAGGTTGCAAAAATAGCCTTACTGCTTAAAGTCAGAAGTAACATGACACCAGGTTATAGTCCAACAGGTTTATATAAAATCACAAACTTTCAAAGCACTGCTTCTTTGCCAGGTGAAATTCTCTGGCTATGTTGAGGACATCTTGAAACCCGTTGTACAAGGAACCCCCAGTTTCTGTTGCAACACTACAGACGTCTTACAGGAATGAGAAAAATACCTCATTTGATGAAGCAGCAGCAGCAGCAGCAGCAGCAATCTGAAAGATTGTGATTTCAAATAAACCTGTTGTACTATAACCTGTTGTCTGTGACTTCTGACTTTGTCCACCTCAGAACAACATCAGCACTTCCACATCATGCCTACTGTTTAAGAAAAAGGAGGGGGAGAAGACAGAAAAAAGGGAACCTTTTTGC